GTTAGATTTTGTTCACTTTTGCAGCTTCAATTTCCTAAACCAACCTGAGTTTCTCCATTTCTCTGATCTGGGTTTTGGTCTTTTCCTTCTTTGGTTATTGTTAGTTTCTTCATAAATCCCAGATCCTCTGTTTTCTCTTCTAAGGTCTCAAAATTTAACTTAATTTTCGCTTGATTCGGATCTGGCAATAAGCAATTGGTTAAGTAAAAAAAAAAGGGGTTTTTATCATTCAGACAACAAAGTTCAAAGATCGAATCTTTTCTTCTACTTCTTGTCCTTATAGTCAGGAAAAAGCAGCTTCCTTAGATTCTTCTAGCTTAGATGCTTATCTCTCTAAGATTCCATTTACAAAAAGAAAAAATGCCATTTTGATCTTATGCTCCTTTGAAAGATCGAAATCTTCAACTTTTTTCTCTCTTTAAGTTCCACCATTGATAATCAAAATCTCTGTTTTCTTTTTAAAAATCAACAAATTGTTGACAAAAAAAAAAAAAAAGATGAACAGAGGAATCGATGTTATGTCACCAGCAACATACATAGAAACATCAAACTGGTTATTCCAAGAAAACAGAGGAACTAAATGGACAGCTGAAGAAAACAAGAAATTCGAAAACGCTTTAGCTTTTTACGACAAAGATACTCCAGAGAGATGGTCTAAAGTCGCCGCTATGCTTCCCGGAAAAACAGTCGGAGATGTCATCAAACAATACAGAGAACTCGAAGAAGACGTAAGTGACATCGAAGCTGGTCTTATACCAATCCCTGGTTATGCCTCTGATTCATTCACACTTGATTGGGGAGGCTACGAAGCAGAAAACAATGGTTTTAACATGAACGGATATTACTTTGCTTCCGCCGGAGGAAAGAGAGGATCCGCCGCGAGATCGGCCGAGCACGAGAGGAAGAAAGGTGTTCCATGGACAGAAGAAGAACACAGGTAACAAAAAAAATTAAAGTCATTTTTGCTTTCTTCTACTCTAGATTTGGAACCCTGCACTTTCTTTTTTATTAATACGTAAGTACGTTTTTTTTTTCTTGGAAACG